AAGCGTATAGGATTCATAGCATTTAGCGGTGATCTGTCATGATATCTGAAGAATGTACCAATTTTTCGAATCGCAATGAGACCAGGTCTTTACTCTCACGTTTCTTCACTTTGAATGCCAGTTGATGTTTAATTTCTTATCTTTCATGCCATAAATATCACATTCAAATAAGGTTAAAATTTGTCTCAAGTCCTCCCTCTTCCTTTCATCTGGTATCCTTGTCCAGGCCTTGGCGTTCTCACTTTGATGATCGCCATCTCCTTCCGCTTTCTCGCCACCATCTTGGCAGTGACGCCATCGCAGTTGTCATGGCGGGAGCGCCTATTTGTGGCCGTGGCCTGGCTGCCCAAGGCTACGGTACAGGCAGCCATCGGTCCTGTAGCTCTGGATACAGCCCGGCAGCTCCAGGCGTCCGAAAGCATTCTGATATGGGGCGAAGAGGTGAGCCACGACTGAGTCAGGTCTGGAGGTTGGATAAAAATTGTAGCTTTAACCATGGTTGAATGATTCTCTGATTTCTTTAATCTAATTTGGCGATACACTGCATTCATTCATTAGTGCTCAGCAAAAAATAAATATGCTAGTGAATTGTTTCATGTAGAGGAGCTAAGAATTTTATGCATACTTTTCATTTGGTAATTTTCCTATATGATATGTATTCACCCTATTTCATTTAAGGTAATGAAGGACTGGTAGTAGAATTTTCCCACAATAATATGAGTAGAGCCGACGCTTCCATTTAATTTTGCATAGCCTTGCTCCCGCAAAAGTTGTTCTCATTAGATCACCTTAAACGAAATAGGGTAATTACATCTCATCTAACAGATTTACTGGTAGTCTCGAAACTTTACTTACAAACGAAAAATAAGTAACGTAGTCGAGTGTTATAACAAAAATACGTTTGCTTCATCGACAATCCCACCAAAGAATAGGATATGGCAAAATGCCTGGCCTTTCTTGAAATTGAAATCTGCCCTGTGACCCAGGAGCACTCGTGGCAATGTGGCTGAGTGGTTAACATGTCAAGCTCACATTCTGCACTTTCACAGTTCGACTCCCGCTGGGGGTGC